AACCACAAAAGGTTCTTAGAACATTCTTTGGTGGGGCTATAGGCGAGCCGGGACGCTTCGCCACTGCTTGACAAAAGGGGAGGGGCGCGCAGCTCTCAGGCCAGGCTGGCCCAGCTGGGCTCCATGCCGGAAGCGGCCGGCCTATTCGGGCCGTGGTGCGGTTCCAGCAGGCTCATGTGGCGATGCTTGCAGTTCTGGGGGGAGGTCGCTTCCTTGCTGTGGTCGTCCTCGCCCAGCAGGCCTCCGACAGGAAGCCCGGCACGGCGCAGGTGCTTCGCGTAGACGTTGAGGTAACGGAACCCCTCCATCGTACGTCCGTGAACGACTTTGAGGTCCACCCTCCCAAACTGCATCCACCTGGGATCCTCTGTGATGGCCCCTGCTGCGCGGTACCTGGGGAAACAGAGATGCCCACACCGCTACTCCCCAGATCTCTCCCGGGGAGCGTTCCGACCAGAGTCTCGAGGCGAATCCAGCAATGGCGACGAGGGCCTCCCTGGAGGCCCAAAAAGGTGGAACCCGAGAGGAGGGTAGCGGTATGGGTACCTTTTCCTCCTCTGGGTACCGGAGGCCACCAATCTGCTTTGCCTCCGCCCACTTTCCCGTGAGGTTCAGCTCCTGGAAGTACATGTCCGCGCACAGCTCCCCGAGCCTCTGCGCCTCCGCCTCGACGCGCAGCAGGGTGCCCTCGGAGCGCGCGCCCCTCGGGATCTGGACCAAGACGTGCCTGCCCGCCTGCATGAGGTCGAAGCGCTCGCCGAGGATGTTCTGCAGATGGGGGTCGCCGGTGCCCGCGACGGCGCCCATACTGGCCCCAATGATCACGGGGACCGGCGTGGGAGCACTGGTGACTCCCGCAGTCGAGCCCGCGGCGCCGACGGAGGGAGCCGTCAGCGTAGGGGCCACGGTGACAACAGGCTCACCACTCCAGTCAGCAGCAGCCATTGCCATGTTCGTCTCGGCCTCAACGGCGGCAGACATTCCAGCAATCGCGGCAGTGAGGGATGCGGCGCTGTTGCTGCCAGCGATCTGCACCGTGAACTTCGTCGTCACGGTGACGTGTGAGTCCTGCGAGAGCTGACGGGCGGCAAACGGGATCCGATCGGGATGACTCGTGATGGCGAAACCCGTGATTTCAATGTCGGAAAGAGACGCGTTCAGAGCGTTAGCCAGACCCGTCTTTTTAGCGGCCACATATGTAGTGGAACTCATGAGGTCCTCTGCAGTCACACCGTCTGGAAGAGTTTCCTCCGTGGTGTACTCGCCAGCGACCCGTGCGTAACTGGACAAGTCCGCCGACCCCTGCTTGCCCGGGGTGAGAAGGCGTGCGAGATGATTGGCTGTCTCCCTCCCCCTGTCCCCTTCCCCCAGGGTCTAGTCTTCTGTAAACGGGGGGAGCTGGGAGGAGGAGGAGGGAGGAGGAGGGAGGAGGAGGGAGGAGGAGGGAGGAGGAGGGAGGAGGAGGGAGGAGGAGGGAGGAGGAGGGAGGAGGGAGGAGGGGGGGGAGCCGGGGGCGGGGCAGGCTCGCAGGCGCACGCCCAGAGATGCTGGAGCTTCCAAAAATGCCCTCCGCGGCCCTACAGACGTTCCAAAGCGGTCCCGAACTCGCGGAACGCTTGGCCCAAGGCGCTTGCAGTGGCTCCAAGACGCCCCAAGACGCCCTCGAGACGCCCCCAGGAGCCTTCCCAGTGGGGCACCGAGAGGCAAACATCAATGACTGTCCTTCTTTGATGTCTGATTGTTTCTGGGGTTACCGTCGTCTCGTGCTTCCGACGCCACAAGAGTCCCGTAGACCACCCAAGAACTGCCCAACAGGCCCCTACGAGGGCCCCAGGACGACCCAAGAGGGTTCCAAGACGGCCCACAAAGGGGCCCAAGACGGCCAAGGATCGCCCCAAGAGGGCCGCCGGAGAGGCGAAGAGGGAGAACGCGAACCGAACCTCAGATCTTTCCCCCCAAAGAGCCCCCAAGCGGCCCAAAAGAGGCCCCCATTAAGCCCCAAAACAGGCCCCCGAGAAGCCAGAAAGAGGCCCCCCAACGGGCCCCAAGACGCTCCAAAACTGCCTCCAAGAGGCTCCGCCAGGCCCCCAAACAGCTCCCAACACGCCCACAAAAGTCCCCAGATAAGGCCAAGAGGCCCACAAAAGACAAGAAAAAAGAAAAAAAAAAAAAGCAAAAAAAAGAAAAAAGGAGGGCGCCCCCCTCCCCGGGGCCCACGACGCCTCAACCGTGAACTCCCCGCCTCTTCTGGGGGTCGGCGGAATGGCGTAAGCCTCTCGAATAACTGCCCGTTTCATTCGAGCACGTGAGACCAAATGCCCTGTAGTAGAGCCAGGTTGACTTCTCTGTGCTGCAACCACATAGGCCGCCGTGCCAGCAACCATTGCAATCGGTGCACTTAGAACCCGCGAGATCGAAATAGCCACAACCATCCTCACAGCTGCAGCATCCAGCAGCTTTGCGCGCTTCTGTGCAATCCCAACAATTGCAACCACAAGGTGGGCTCGGGCATCCGCATGTTTTCTGCGCTTCCGAAAGTGTCGGGCTTGGCGTCGGGCTTGGCGTCGAGCTCTGGGCCGCAGACTGCGTGACGCCAGGTGGCAATGGTGTCGGGCTTGGCGTCGGGCTTGGCGTTGGATTTGGCGTCGGTGACGTGTAGTGGTAGGGCAGGTAGCTGCCTCTATCACTCGAGCAAGTGAGACCGAACACCTCGTAATAGGGCCAAGTAACCGAATCTGTGCTACAACCACACTTGCCATTGCGCCAACAACCATTGCAACCGTCGCACACGGAAGAAACCGTGTCTGCATAACCGCAACTCGAAGCAGTCCCGCAGCTGCAGCATCCAGCAGCTTGACGCTCTTGTGTGCAGTCCCAGCAGTTGCAGCCACAGGGGGGGCTGGAGCAGCTGCAAATACCCGATCATGCAAGATCCCCCAGCGGGGGGTAGGTGGGTGCAGATGTCGGGATCGGCGTTGGGAATGTCGTCGGGCTTGGCGTCGGACTTGGCGTTGGATATGCAGTCGGGGTTGCCGTCGGGGTA